TCACACTGTTGACTCATGTTCAACTTATGGTCTACTAGGACTCCTAGACCCCTTTCACTCATAATCTCATTAAGCCAGGGGTCCCCCATCCTATATCTATCAATTTCATTTTTTTCCCTAAGTGCAGTACCTTACATTTCTCCATTTCAAAATTCATTAGCTTTGGCCCAGGTTTCTAATCTATTAAGGTCATTTTGAATTTTCATCCTGTCCTCTTAGCTATTCCTCCTAATTTGGGGTTGTCTGCAAATTTGAGAAGCATGCCCCCCTTTTCTTTCATCCAAGTTATTGATAAAGATGTTTGATAGCACTGGGCCCAAGACAGAACTCTGTGGCACTGGTACGTTCTCTCCAGGATGAAGAGGAGCCATTGCTGAGCACCCTTTCAGTTCGGTCAGTCAACCAATCCACCTATCAGTTGTATTGTTTAGCCCACATTTTACTATCTTGTTTGTAAGAATATCATGGTTTAATTAACTGTTCTAGAATCTTTTCTGGTATTGATGTCAGACTAACTGGGCAATAGTTGTTAGGATCCTCTTTTTCCCCCTTTTGAAGATGGGGACAATGTTTGCCCTCCTCCAGTCTACTGGCACTTCTTCTGTTCTCCAGGAGTTCTCAAAGATTATTACCACTGGTTCTGAGATTACATTTGCCAATTTTTTTAATATCCTTAGATGTAGTTCAGCTGGTCCTGGAGAATTAAATTCATTTAGATTAACCAAGTATTCCTGTAGTACCTCTTTACTTATTCTGTGCTGCATTTCCCCTATTGTGTCCTCTGTTCTATTTTCCTCAAGTTGAGCACTCTTTGACTTTCATGAGAAGACTTAGGCAAAGAAGGTGTTGAACAGTTCTGCCTTTTTCCCTGTCTCCTGTTAGAATTTCTCCATCTTCTCTGTGCAGTGGCCCTACGATTTCCTTCTTCTTTCTTTTGCTACAGACATACCTTTTTATTGTTCTTAATCCCTGTAGCAAGCCCATGTTCATTCTGTGCTTTGGCTTTCCTGACTTTACCCCTACATGTGCTAGCTATTTGTTTGAATTCCTCTTTAGTGATTTCTCCCCTTTTTCATTTCTTATACATCTCCCATTTAAAACTTAGTTCAATTAAAAGTTCTTTTGTCATCCAACCCAGTTTTTTGAGACACCTCCCATTTTTCCTTAACATTGGAACAGTGTGATATTGTGCCTTCAGTATCTCCCTTTTAAGAAACTCCCATCCATCCTGAACTCCTTTCTCCTTTAGTATTCCTGACCACAGATCACTCCCAGTGTTCCCCTAAGTTTATTGAAATCAGATCTCCTAAAGTCTAGGATGAGTGTCTGACTATGTCTAGCTTCTCCTTTCTACTGTATAAGAAACTCCAGGAAAACATGATCACTCCCACCTAAGGATCCCACCACTTGCATCCCATGTACCAGGTCATCCCTGTTGGTTAGGATCAGATCTAACATAGCTGATCCCTTTGTTGCCTCTTCCACCTTCTGGACAATGAAATTGTCTTTGAGGAAAGTGAGGAATTTGCTAGACCTCGAAGTATTGGGTGAGTTTGACTTCCAGCAAATATCTGGACAGTTGAAGTCACCCATCACTACTACATCTCTCCTTT